TATTCACCTGAATAATAATCTTCATTCACTCATCACTAACCTATTTCGATCAACATCACGTTTTCTCAAATTTAACTACTCAATCAAGCAATTCTTTTCAATTTCCAGCCGCATTCCATTGAATTTCAATCCTCAAATTCAGGAATCTTTTCGATACCCCACAATAAGCCTGGTTATGCTTAATGAATAATTTTCAATGAAGGATGACTGCAAAAAGGGAAAAAGAATGGAAATCAACAGAAATATTAAATAAAGACAGTATGAACATACGGTCGGCTGTACAGCGCCTTGTAAGAGAAGTTGTAAGCCTTTCACATCAAGCTTATCGGCAATCGTTTTGTCATGATCACCTGCATTTATTGCTGAATCCAGTATTCTTCTGATCTGTTGCGCTTTAAATATTAAATTCTCAATCGCCAACTCCAACGGTGTCAAAATCTTCTCACTTCGTTCAGTCACGCGCTCACGTCGCCTCGTATTCGGAAACGGTTCGGCTACTGAAACACAATCAAAGCTTCACTCCACACGTAAAAATTAAAAAAATTGTTTCAAATTTTCGATAAACCAGAAGCCAAAATAATTCGAAACGGCGATGAATCTCGAAGACCTGCACGAGATCAAACCAAAAAGACATGTTCATAATTGTCAACATTCCGAAACAGAAAACATTTTCCGATCAATTGTTCCCACATCAAATCTGAACTGTTTCGCAGTAGTTAAATGCTTAATAATGATAAATGAAAGAAACAAAACTGACCAGTGAGACAAATTCGTTTCAAAGTGCGTCTAGCGATTTCAGGTGCATCCTCAGAAACGCTTTCGTCGATGACGGGACATTCGTAAATGAATTTACGGATATTTGTATTCAGTGCGAAACTGCTCACATCAGCATCGCTGCTGTCGTCTGCGAACGGTTGTACGTGAGTCATTTCAACGTACGCCATACCGTCCTCGATTTGTGATTCGTCGATCTGAAGAACGTAAGAAGAGTTGACGAATGCGATGAAATTCAACAACAAATTCAGAATCGCTATTTGCCAGCAATTCACTTAATAAGATTATCCTCGTTCGACTGAACACTGAAATACAAACCTCTCCTTCGGCCACCACTTGGATTCGTTCATGTCCCAACGCCAACCTACAAGCCTCACTCATGCGCTCACATGCCTCAGCTAATGAGGTCAACGCTGGTTCACGATATATCCACTCTGTCCCATCATCTTCNAAAACGATAGTCCGATCTTAACCTGAAATGATTCGCACCATGAAAAATGACACGAAAGTATGAGCCAAAATGTCGTTTTCGCGTTGCTTTCACTTGATCAGCCGAACTATAGGCCTGCTGTAAATCGGCGTACATACTTACCAATGCCTACAACGTGTTCAATTAGGTTAGGATAATATCACGGCACCTCACAAGCGATCTTATTAAATGGTGATAATCAAAGGCGGACGTCACAAGGCACTGCACTTGGGTTCAGGCTAACAAACGAAAAACCCAATGAAGAAACAGTTTTGCAGCCATTGTTACACTTCTTTCAAACTAACAGATACTGAATGTCATGTCATATAGTTTAATACAAATTTTTCTTTCACACAGTATATTAATACAAAAATCATTAGAAATATTGCAATATGATATTACTCGATAGTTTTTCTGCTGTTCGAATATCGGAATGGCTAAACGAGATAAAGGACCGATCGCTTCGTATCTTTCGGCGAGAACCAACGTTTGCATCGTTTTCTCAATCATTGACGCGAAATTCTCCTGCAACAAATTCGCTTCCATTTAAAAAATCTCCTCGAAATCAACTAATAAATACATTAAAACGACTCCGAAAACCTGAACATAACTTATCTGATGAAGGCGGTTAATCTTCACTCTCATCCTAACCACAACACCACTATAATATCTACTCAAAAACAATTACACTTTTGGTGATTCTCATTTTACAGTTCGATTATCTTTTATTTTCCAATC